CCCCCCACCGGTCTTCCCTCGCGACCTTCATAGAGACTTTGTGTCCTCGGTTGAAGGTCACCCTCAAATGGCGCCGGATGCTAGAGGCGCAGATATTTTAAGAGCCCTGGTTTATTATAGAGGACCCGTCCACCATGAAGAAGATCGCAACTCTCCGCGGGCTCGATCTCTCGGAGGAGCTGGGGGGCCGAGGGAGTACAGTGATCGAATTTCTCGCCGATGCTGGGCGAGCTGGCCGGTCACAGCAGCGCGCGGGCACGGCGTTACGCAACGGCGCTGGGGGTGTGTCCACCCAGTCCGCCCGACGTGACCCGCGGCCGCCAGAACCCAACGGTGAGGCTCAGTGGCCAACCCGCGTTCAAGTCTTTGCCACGCCCTTGCCTTCCATTCCATTCCCTCCACCCCCCACCCCCCCTCTCACACTCTACTCCCAGCGCCCGCCAGGCCCGCTTATCGGTAAGGTTTGGCTGCAAGCACTGGTGGAGGTGGTCAAATACGAATACGTCATCCGCCGCGCCACTCCCACAGGCGGGGGAGGCGACCCCCCCCCCCCCCACTGCTGGCCCTCGATAGCCGCCGGACAGGTAGGCAATTTGAGACACAACACTCGTGTTACGAGCCTGCTCAGTTCACCCTCTACAAGCTTCCATACCGCCTGCTAGGTAGGCAACACAATGCCTGCAGTGCACGCGTGTCTTGCGGAGCGGCCTACCCCGAGTCTCGCAGGCGCCAAGGCTCCAGCAGTGCCGAATGAATCTTAGAGAAACGGACATACCTTGTGGACGATCCCTTATGCCCGCCCACCCGCGCGACGATGGGCAGGCCAAACTCACCACTCTGCTCTGCTTTGCTCCCCTCCAGGACCACGATGGAGGACGGCGGCCAGCGCGTCATCCCGCTCAGCGTGGTCTCGCTCCACGACTCGCCCGGCGACTGCTGGGTGGTCGTCTACGACCGCGTGTACGACATCACCCCCATGCTCCACGAGGTGAGTGAGGCAGCGTCTCCTAGCTCCCGCACTGCGGCGAGAAGCGTGAAACAGCTGACGTTATAACGACCCTCTGGCTCCTGTTGCTCGCAGCACCCGGGAGGCATGGAGATTCTGCTGGAGAACGCCGGCAGGGACGTGAGCCTCGCTTTCCAAGGGGTCGGCCACTCTAGGGCGGCCCTGGCCGCCCTCAAGGCCTTCCAGGTTGGCGTGCTCCCCGACGGCGAGTGCATCTTCAACCAGCGTCCGGGGCACCTGCGGGTGGCACGGCAGCCCTCGTCCGCCGCCATGCTGTACACGCCCTGAGCGGCCCGACGACACCGCCTCTGGGAACCCCTGCTCTGCTTCGGGTGACAGCAGCGCCTGGCGACAGATCCTTGGCCTGCCCGAGTTCAAGCCCATCGCACCATCCACCCACTCCCATCCAAAGTAGTAGCTAACCGGAGCTAGCACCGAGCGCTGCCAGGAGCACGCTTGGAGTAGGCCGCCAGCCGGAACCGAGTAGAGCAACAACAACCCCCCCCCCCTTTTTTCGCACTACTCTACCCTTTCATAGCTACCCAGTGGGCGCCGGTGCGAGGTCATTTAATTGTTTTCCTTTGGTTGAGAGCGAAGCAGGCCGAAGCGTATTACTAATCTTAAGATGGTACTCAATGGACACTTAATTTTTGAGAAGACCAAAAAAAAACTTCATATAAGGGACATTGTATCATGAGGCGAATTAAGAGTATAATTCATCCATGATTAGTACAACAGAGCGCTTAAATCAATGTACTGCATTTACATTTAAATGTATTAAGGGTCTATGCCATACAGTATTTAACACACATTGTGACATCTCCTCCATTCACATCTCATCATTTTTTAAAGTATTCCTTAACTTATTATTATAACATTATTTGTAGTGGAACTTTATCTTGCAAAATAAACCAT